CAACCGAGCTTGTTGTAGAAGGGAGTCAAGTTAATAGGCCAGAGTTACCATTGTTCAACTTCAAATGTGTGGCGGCTGCTACAAACAACTTCTCTGAAGAAAGTAAACTAGGGCAGGGGGGATTTGGTCCTGTGTACAAGGTGACCCTCTCTAACTCTCTTAAGTTTACCAGAAAATATCCCTCTAGTGATTCAAGTGGATTATGTTCTCAGGGAGAGCTTCCTGGCGGTCAACAAATAGCAGTAAAGAGACTGTCAAAGGCATCAAGGCAGGGTTTAGAGGAATTTAAGAATGAAGTGTTGGTCATCTCCAATCTCCAACATCGAAATCTTGTAAAACTCCTAGGCTATTCTGTTGAGGGAGAAGAGAAGATTTTGGTCTACGAATACATGCCAAACAACAGCTTGGACACATATTTGTTTGGTTAGAGCATGACTCATTCCCCTTTTCTTTTAGTTATACAATGCAACTAAGGATTTTTTAAATCAAAATCTTAATTACGAGCCAAAATAGAACATATAAGGATTATTTTCAATATCTAAAACATTCATTTCTAATGATAATGATCATTATTCTTGTTCTTTTAGTTTTAACATTTCTACTTCCTATATAGATCAGCTCAAAAAAGAACTCCTACAATGGAGAGAACGTTTCCACATCATTGAAGGAATCAGCCGAGATCTTCTTTATCTGCATCAAGATTCTAGACTACGTATTATTCATAGAGATTTAAAGGCAAGTAATGTTTTGTTAGATGAAAGTTTGAAACCAAAAATTTCAGATTTTGGATTGGCTAGGGTTTTTGGAGACAATGAAGATCAAGCCAATACTAAAAGGGTTGTTGGAACATAGTAAGTAACTTTTCTTACACTAAAATACATTTCAAACCAATAACATCACTATATATGCTTGAGCGATAAACATTTTATTTTATTTTTTTTATGTTTATTGTAGTGGTTATATGTCTCCTGAATATGCAATGGATGGACTATTTTCAGAGAAATCTGATGTATTTAGCTATGGTGTTTTATTGCTAGAGATTGTTAGTGGGAGAAGAAACACCAGTTTTTACAATGATAAACATTTAAGCCTTGTGGGTTATGTAAGTGAAGCCCTATCGTCCATCAACAACATGTTTAATTGGCTTTTTGACATTTTGATGGTAGTCTTTGCCATTTCCAGGCTTGGACATTGAGGAATGAAGGCAACATTTTGGCTTTGGTTGATAACTTGGTCTCCGATCCATGCCATCGTGAGGAGGTTCTAAGGTGCATACATGTGGGATTGCTGTGTGTGCAACAATTCGCGAAAGATAGACCTGACATGTCCACAGCCATTTTAATGCTTAACGGTGTAATTGTGGATCTTCCTTCTCCAAAACAACCTGCTTTCACTCAAAGACAGAATAATGCATCACATGCAAAGTCCCCTCCTCAGCATGATCAACAGGAATGCTCTCTAAACAATGTGACTCTCTCAACGGTTGAAGGACGATAAAAAGAAAGTTCTTCATATGATTGGTTCTTCATATGATTGGTTCTTCCTGGAAAGAAATTTCATCTTTGGTTTTAGTCAATAATTTGTAATTTTTAACAAAATGTCAAACTTTTTCCGAAAAAAATAAAAAACCCAAAATGTTAAACTTCTTTTATTGCAGCGAAATCATTAACCTAATCATTTTCAACTTCTAACTTTTTGGACTTTGCTGAAAAATTTAAATATGTTAGACCTGGACTCTCACAAACGAGGTGTTGAGGAAAAATTGAAATTGAAATTTGCGAACCAGACAGCGTCCTTCTCAGCTGAAAATGAAATGGCATTTGACCGAAAATCAGAAATTGAAATTGAGTGACAGATCTGAATGGTACAAAACAAAATTGAGAGTGAAATTATCAATTGAAGGTAGAAATTACCGTTGATCGCTAAAAAAGGAGAGACCTTCAGAGCGTTCGGCTGAAAGTGGCAACCTTTTCTACTGAATGTTCTGAGCTGAAGGGTGAAGACAATGGAGAACAATCTCAAAGAACGGAGGGAGCAAAGGACGGAGGTGGCGACAAGAGGACGGTGATCTGAGGTTCGAAAGAGAGAAATAGAAGAGCGGAGCAAGGTGATCTGAGGTCAAAAAGAGAAATCGCAAAAAGGGTGTGAGCTCATCTCAGCTTCGATTGAGGAAGGTGATGTATCCTTTTTGGGAATGCTTTTCTTCTCAAACGGCATCGTTTCTAAATATAGAGCCTTTGACAACGTTATCTTAGTGTTATTTTTATTTTTAATTTTTTTGGTCGTATCACAAAATATTAGATAATTCATAGGGACCTGAATTCTAGTAACATTTTGCTTGACGAAAATATGAAATAAAAAATTTCAGATTTTGAAATGGCTAGAACATTTGGCTGTAACCAATATGAAGTAAATACAGTCCTAGTAACAGGCACATAGTAAGCACTGCATCCTCTGAACTTTTGACCTATGTTGGCGGCTTGATAGATCTAATTTCTTATCATTTTACAATTTAGTGGTTATATGTCACCTAAATACACAATGAAATGCCTATTTTCGATCAAATCAGATGTGTATGGTTTTGGTGTAGTACTACTGGAGATTGTGAGCGGTCGGAAGAACGCTAGCTAGCTTCATTCATCTGATTGCAAGCACACCGGCCTGATTGGTTATGCAAGTAAACGTGCGGTTTTAGTTTTTACCAAGACCACCAAACTCTCAAGTTAGAAAATTATCTGAACTTCTCCTACAAGCAATTTGAGCTGAAACACTAACAATGGAATCTCAACTTCTTTCAGGCATGGGAACTTTGGAACGAAAATAAGCCAATGGAGCCCGTTGATCCTTCCATTCGAGACACATGTAATCCAAGTGAAGTTCTAAAATGCAAATATGTAGGCATGCTGTGTGTGCAGGATTCTGCAGTACTCAGACCGAAAATGGAATCTGTAGCGCTTATACTTGAAAGTGAAGGCGCTCCAACACTTCCAGTGCCTAGAAAACCAAATTATACTTGCATGAAGTGCTCCAGAGACACAAACTTTTAATTGGATGGTCAAGATTTTGTATTCATAAATGATGTCACAGTTACAATGTTATCACGAAGATAGTTTGTCTTGTATTTTTCCTTCCATCATAATCATGTATTTCTTCCTAGTGAATATACTGTTCATACCTTTTCGATAGATCTTCCGATAAAAATTTACTTTTAATCCCTTATTTTATCAAGTTTAAATGATTTAGTTTCGCACCTTATATTATAACACTTTTAACTCTTTACTTTATTAAATTCGTAGATTTTAATCTATCTAATAAAGAAAGTTAAAAAAAAAAAAGAAAAAATAAAATATTTTAATATTAAAAATATCAAAATGTTTAATTATAATTATTAAATATATAAAATATAATATAAATTTTTATTTTATTGAATATATCATATAATTATTATTAAATATCACAAGTCCTCTTCTACCAAAAGTCAAACAATAGTTGCACCTGAACCTCATGGCTCAACGGTCATAGATCAGTTTGTAAGGTGCATTCCTCAATTCGAGAATTGAGGTTCGATTTTCTCTTCTCCCATAATTATAACCTTGTTCAAAAAAAAAAAAAAAAAAGTTAAACAATAGTTACAGTGAAACGGAGAGATTAGGTAATTAGAAACTCATACAAGCATGTTTTCTCTATACTATTTGCAATTGCCGATAACTGGGAATTAAGAATCGGACCAGGCCGAATTACCTGTCTCTCACGAAATTTTAATGTGGGTTTACTGCTTTACTTTAATAGAGCTCATCGACCTCTCAGAAAATTGGGTGTCTTAAAACATAAGCCCACTTATCGCAATACTGGACATCATCTTCAAATTCGGGACTCCATGGATTTTACTGAAAAATTCAAACAAGTTGACCTGTTGACCTCTGCTTCTCCTTCCTCCAAGAGCCCAAGACTAATCTTCATATATATTCTGCACTGTACTAGGTTTAAAACAACTGATTTAGGTCAGCACGTGTTACCATCCTATGACAATTAAGATCAACAATGCCTTTATTTATATGCCAAGATTCTTCCAATAAAGTGTGTACATTCATTTTTAAAACACTGTTACGTTAATGCGACCGAGGCATTACACATGTTTAATTTGTTTGATACTTGAAACTCTTTCTTGACATTGTCTCACATAAAAATCTTTCTGTATTCTATGAACAAAGAAATAAGAATACTTGTGGGATGATTAGGATTAGCATGATTAAAATAAGTTGACCTTTACTTGTATTTTGTTGCCATCCTTCTGAGTAACACGAGATGGACTAAAATAAAACGGCCGCCGTCCTATGTAAAAGCAATTCTGCATTTCTTGTTTCCAAGTTATTTATTTCTTTAGTTCTTAATGTGTCCGTTAGCATTCCATTTGCATGACTTGACGCCTTGCTTGCCCGATTGATTTTGGGGTGACACAGAATGTATAATGTATTCTGCAAAAGAAGCTTCGGATAAAAGTCCAAGCAATACAGCTTGTAAAGCTGTTCCTAAACTAATGCTATATTTTTTAATATTTATTTAGTTTAATTATTAAAATATAATATATATAATTAATTTAAATATTTTTATATATTATATATAATTATATTTTTAAATTTATTTATTTTTAATTTTATATTAAAAATAAATTTTTAATAAATATATCATTATATTATATATTAAATTAAAAAATATGATAACCAACAATCCAAAAATTAATGGAGGTGAATAATCTTTCCGAGTATTACAAGAGGTGTAAAAAAGACCAGCACTTAGAATTGGCAATGACTATGACCCCCGGGGACGGAGCCAGCGTGGGACATGGCGGCGCAGCCGCCGCCCTTAAACTTTGTAAATGCTAAATATGGTACAAATTTTTTTACTTTTTTTTAAAATTTATTTTTAAAGTTTAAATTATAAGTACCATTCAAATATTACAAAATGGCAATGATATAGTGAACGAATAAAGAGAACGAAATCATGGGATAAATGACATGTCATTAATATATAAATTTTTTAAAAATTTAAATCAAGTATTTTTACTAAGGTGACATACTACTTCATAATCGTCTCGTCAAATTGTCTTGTTTTTTTTCGTTTTTCTCATCATTATTCATAAAAAAAATATTTATGACTTAGATAAGAAGATCATCTGTAACTAATTCTTATAAAGGCGTTAATTTTATTGAAATAGGAGCAAATATTAAAAAAATTTCTAGATCTAATTATATTAAATATGACTTAAGTCAATACATTGGTCATATATAATTTTTATTTGTATAACCAAAATTCTATTAGATTAATGGTTGAATCTATTTTGTTTATGTAAACATGTTTCAAATTTAAAATTAATTTGATATATGTAACTTTATAAAGAAAATAAAAAATATTTTTATACTATTTATTTAATAATTTTAAATTATATATTATTCAAAAATAATTAAATATATCTAATTAATTTAAAATTTATTATGAATATTATATGTGGTATTTGCGTAAAATTAATGCTTGATGAAAAAATTAATATAAATTATACCATATAAATTGATAAATAACTCATAAAAATTTTAAATTTTGACCCCCTAATTTAAATTTTTAGCTTTGTCCCTAATGACCATTATAATTTTTATTAATGTCAGTAGAAACAGTGGTCAAATTTTTATTTTTATTTGACTAATAACCTATAAACCATCAATATATATTTTCAAATATCATAACCAACTATTTAAGAAAAGAAAAATTATAAACTGATAAAGTTATCATTAAATTAGTAACTTTAATAAAATTATGGTAACAATAACCTCAATTCTTAGATTTCACCTATTATCAATTAATTTTTTTAGTAAACTAAATTACATACTTTGAAGACACCAACATATAAATTTAAGATGGAATTTGCATGCAGAGCTCAAACTAAAAATTTCAAGACCTCAAAGTCGCCTATCTCGCAAAGATTTCACATTTCATTTGTTTTTTCTTTTTCTTCCTTTTGAGTTTGCTACCCCTTTTCTAGAAAGCTTTAACTTTTTGTTGACAGATCTACCTATATATACAAATTAAACTATGTTTGTTATGTGGAAATTTAATTAAAATAAGACAAATTATTAGCATAAGTTTCATTTGTGCTGATGTACGCAGTATAATGCAGCCAAATCCTACCACCACCCAACATTGGACCAAAGCGAGTATTGAATTCTGAAAATGGAGATTCCAACAAAAGTTCAAACATCAAAGCTAACTTCCCATTTTTAAAACCACAATTAGGGTTTGATCAATTCCATTTACTATATTCATATCTAACCCAACCTTAATAACAAAATGATCAAAGACCAATTATTTCCCAGATCTCACACAGAACCCCACAGAAAAAATTAAAAAGAATACATTCGTTGTACTATGCCAGCAATATATAGTCAACTAATTAAGGTTGATTAGCAGAGTTTTTTTTTTTTGCTTATAATTACTATTTTTTCTTATAAATTTGAAATTTAAAAAAAAAACACTTGCTTTTTTAAAACTTGGTTAGGAATTTTATTTCTCAAATTGCTTCTCCTCCTTCCCTCACATCTCAAGGTTAATTTAAATTTATTCTACTTACAGTCTTAATTCCGGTTTGAACAACCTTAGGCCCGCGTAGAACAGATACATATTATTCAAAATTCAACGCTGACCCGAGTGACCAAAGGGTCTAGATATTCCACCCTTCACTCCATTCCTCGTACTATAGTCCAAATCGAAGGCCAGTAATCAACAGAGGTCCAGTGGTGATTTTTTTTTTTTCTATCGGTTAGAATATTTTCAACTTAGTTTTTCTTTCCTTGAATAATTTTAAAAGTATCTTCAGACTAACTTAATACATGTTAGAAAATTAATTTTTTTATATATTAATTATAAATTTTAAAATTTAAGTTTAACTTATAAAATAATATTTATTTAATAATAAATTCAATTTTAAGGTTAAAAAAGTCTAGCATGTGATAGTTGGTCAATTTCGTTGCCTTCTAACTGACGGTGAGGAGGGATGCATTTTTTCCTCACTATTTTAAATCAGTGTAATTCAAATCAACATATGGTTGTTGGCCTAGGCTAACATTAGTCCCACCGGATCCAGTTACACCCTTCCTGTTAAGATTATAAAATAGAATATAATAAATTATCTTTTAGTGATCTTTTAAAGTTTTTTAACGAGTTATATAATTTAATAATAATTTAAATATGTGATTGTAGTGTGTTAAAAAATAAGAAAATATTTTTTTTATATTATACAACCTAAGAAAAAGGTTAAAAAGAAACACCTCTTATTAATCAAGCCGCAATCCATTAAATAAACATTAATTTCTTTTCTCAATAAAAGGAAAAAGCATGAAATCCCTTGGTCAAATTTATTGGTGAGGCACTGTGATATAAATGAGATTTAAAGTTCAAGTGGCTCTCAATACATTAACAAAAAATACATGTAAACAAAACCCATTCATGAGGGGTTGTGAAAAATCACTCTTTCTTAATAATTAAAATATTAAAAATGATAATAAAAATTTTTAAATACTTTTAATAAATTAATTTATAAAAAATTTATTAAAAATATTTAAATAATTTCTTAAGTAATCATGGAATTTCAAAAATGTCCTTATTTAACTTTTCTAATGATTTCATATTCTAATGGGTTTGATTAATTAGTTGGAATCTGAATTTCATTGTGAAAAGGATGTAATGGTTTTTTTAATGAAAATTGAATAGGCTTAATTCAATTTTTAGTCTATTAACTATCACCTTGATTTCATTTTAGTCTAGAAACTATGTTTTATTTCTAAGTGGTTTATTAACTTTTAGATTTATCTCAATTTCGTCTACTTGGTCAAATATAACGGAAGACTTCTTATTCTCTTAGAGAATAGTTAGTCCTCTAACTACATTTTTTTTATCTTTTAATCCTCAAATTTATATTTGTTATAAAAATAGCTTTTATACTTAAAATTATTATTTTTAAGTTCTGATACCAGATTTTTATACTTAAAATTATTACTTATAAGTGTTCTATTA